TGTTGTGGGCCGTGTTGTAATCCAGGGTGATGTTGGCAGCATCTGCAATGACAAGAGTCACTCGGAGGTGCTGAAGAACAAAGCACTTCTGTTTATCCTGTCCCACCTCAGCACTTGCTGCCAAGTGTAGCTGCCAGCTCTGCTCTCCTCCTCAGCACAGCCAGCTCTTAGGGCCACAGTGCAAACTGCTGGGTTCAACTGCAGCTCGATGTCACACAACAGGCAAATGGAGGGAGAGTTTTCTTCCTTCCTGCAGCCTCACAGGATCCCTTTATCACCCAAACACCCCAAAAAAAGGCAATGGCTGATCTGGCAGCAAAAGGTATGCCACGTTGTATAGCATCTTAACAAGCCATCATGGGCTCACATGAAAGCCTGCATTTTATTTTAAAACAATCCAGTGCATTACAATGTGTTTCCAGGCTACCCTAATGCTGTCTTTTTGGGGGAAACCAAGATCCTTACTTAAAAAAGTTCATTTATCTTCATAAAGATTCACAGGTGCTGAAGATTAATTTGATCCATCTAGCAAAAGAACCTCCTGCCCCTCTTTTTCTCCAGAAATTTCCTTCATTTGTAACAACCTATTGAGCTAACAAAACCCCTCAGATGTAATTTTGTCAGGACAATAGAGAGGACACATAGCACCAGTACGACAAGAGCAAGGTTCATCTTTAAGAAGTGCAATGTTGGGTGTCTTACACTGCAAGAGCTCCTCTCTGGGTTTCTTCAGGAAGCTGTCAATCAGCACTTTAGCAGCAGCAGCTGGGGCAGTTGGTGTGGTGGGTGGTGCTGTGTCAACAGAAGAACAGAGAGTTTGGCCAGCTGGGAAGAGCCCTCACATGTTTAACACCCCATCAGACACTCAGGCTGGAGCTGATCTGGTTTAGCCTCCTGCTCCATGCAGGGTTAACTTCAATATTAGCCCACGCTGTTCACTGTCATGTCAAGTTTTAAAAATCCCACTCTCTGGACAGCTTCTCTCAGTGTTTGATTGCTCCCACGTTGGCCCAGCAAGAGCTGAACTTTTGTTCAATAAACAAACACTAAAGACCATCTTATCATTTTAAGAGCAGTCAATGAAAATTATAATACACATGATGAAAGTTTGGACTCACCAACTTTAGCAGCTTTCTTTTTCTCTTCTGAAGGGGGAAAAAGAAAAAAGTAAACTGTGAGTTCTACTGGGAGGCAAAAGCCACTGGTAAGACTGTGTCAGCTGTAATACCATCACCATGGCTCTCCTGAAACTGCAGCAGTACAGAGAGTCCAGTAGGCTGAAGCCATGTACAAATACCTTCACACTGGAAAGTTGCACATCAAGCACAACCTTCCATTTGCTTCCTATTTCACAGGGTCATAAGCCTGGAAGGAGCTTGATCTCCCCTCCAGGAGCAGTGTGTCCAGGCACGTGGAATGCTCCTGTTGCCGTGAGGAACACTGACTATTCCTTTCCTCTTTACCACAGAGCTTTCAGTGCAGCAACAGGAGCTGCAGCTCCATTGCAGTCCTGCTTCCCCAGCACACCCCCTGACTGCCCCACACCCAGCACTTGGACCATGTGTCAAGAGCTCCCTGGAAGTAACAGAAGCTGCTTCTTAACACTTACATTTATGTCAAAAATAAAACATGGAAGATCATCCAAACAGGCTACAGTGCCCATTAATTCTGGTATCTGGACAAAACAGAACTTAAAGGCCCCAGTATAACCTGCCACAAAGACCAACACCCCAGCCCTAGACTGGAGGCAGCAAAATGTTTGAGTAAGGCTCCTTTAATCCCCACTTACTGGTGGTATCTGTCTCCCCATGTGAAGTGTTTTGAGCTGGGGGAACAGTTTTCTCTTTGAGGGTCTGGACTGTGAGGAAGGAAGAAAAAAACCAGAACATGAACAGATCCTAAGCAGAACTCAATACATACAAATCTATCAAACAAACCAAAAGGTGTTTGGCACAAATTAAAAAAAAAAACTGCACCAACAAGAGGGTGGAGAGGCTCTGCTTTGCTTTACAGCCCACACTGACACCACTACAGCTGATGCAGCCATGTACCTGTGCAGTTCACCTGTCCAGCTCACAAGACATGCATCCCCAAATATCCCAAAGCACCCTCCCTTCCCTGTGCCAAGGTGCAGCTCATCACTGCATCACCACCACAGCAAACAGCTCTTGGGTAACTGCCTCAACTCCTATTTAACAGTGAGGCCATAGCTGGGACAGGATGGTGTTCTATAGCACTTACCTGGTCCGCGAGGCTTTTTTCCAACAGCGGCTTTGCTTGGATGAGCTGCTGAAGGGATCTGAATTTTCACAGGTTTGGCTGCAATGGTGATAATTTACATTATGGTTTATATGGTCAGGAACACTCATGCATTAGTGAGGACATTTTTCCATCTTATCCATCTTTCCTGCCTTATGGCAGGTGGAGTCCTGCCACTCTAAAGCCTTTCCAAGCTGCCTCAAATCCACATCCTAACCACATCCAACCCTGCTACATAGTTACACCATAAATTACTCCAAGGAAGAAAGGCTGAGCTGTACCAGAAGGATGTAATATCATGATACTCATCAGCTTATCCAAGTACAGATAATAGTGAAGAAACACTGGCACGTTTTGTCTTCCAATTTAGCCCAGACTGTGATGTTTTTGTGTGGAAATGGAGCACTGCAGAGATTGGAAGACACAATTTATATTAAGCAACTGTATTTGTTGCACTCTTTTAAAAAATTGTATTTGGATTGGAGAGGAAAGATCCCTCATTTCAGCTCAAAGCAAAAGTAGAAAATGCCAATTTACCCAGTGACATGGTATCTTCTTTTTTCTCCCGACTCTGAATTATTGAAAGTTTCACTATGTCTTTGAGGGTAATGGCAGACTGGTAAGTGGAATGCATCACATTTTGGTCCATTTCAACTACAGGAACAAAAGCCTCTTTTGTTGATGTTCGTTGCAGTGCTGTTGCTCTCTGAAATGGCAAATGAGAGACCACCTTGTGTAGCACACAGAGAAAAATACAACCAACTTACTTTAAATGGGATGCAGTTTGTGCATTCATCTCAAATTCAAGGGAACAAAGGCCACAGTCAGACACAGCTCATGGCAAAATTCCAGCAGCAGCTCAGACACCTTAATTCCCACTGGTAACCAATGACCAGGTCCCAGGACAGAGCTGCCACACCTCACAGAGGTGACTCCTGCCCAGTGACCCCTCTGCCTGTGGCAGAGGCTGTGGCTGAACTGGGACAGTTACCAGACACCCCTTCAGCATTCTTTCACTGATATTTGTGTACTTTTCAGGACATCCTTTGATAGCAGGTTCTTGCACACCACTGCATTTCCATTTGACTGGAAGTCTCTGGAGAGCAAGGCCACAGCAGGTTTTTGTCATTCTGCATTCTAGAATGAAGAATTGGATTCACACTTAAATGACACATTACCTTCAAAAAGAGAATATCATCACTTTCAGTCAGTGCCATCTCAATCTGATCTTTCAGAGACTGAATTTCATTCTTCTTATTTCCCAGAACACTGTAAATATAATCAAACTTATTCCAAACTCTCTTTTCTTCCTCTGTAATTGCTTTCATGATCTCATTTTCTCTTTCTTCAATTACAGCTTTAACTTCTGAAAACTCATTTCTGATCAATTCCTTCTTTCTTGAAGCTGTCTCCTGGGGCAGACAAGAGCAGATAGGCACTGATTTCAAAAGAACGGTTTATAAACAAAATACTCTTAAGTGCTACCAAATGAAAGCCTCTGAGAAACGTGGGCTTCTTTTCCTTGAAACAAGCAGGAGAAGAGCTGTTGATTTCTATGTGGTTTAGAAAGCAAATTCCTTCACTCAGAAGGAACGGAGCCCATTCTCAGCGTCACCCTCACGCGAGGGTGTAAAACCTTGAGCAGTGCCAGGTTCACTCCCATCTCCCACAGAGCTGCCTGGCCCTGCCAAAACTCCTCTTTTCTGTTTCTTCCTAGTAACACCTTCTCCTGCCAATGCAGCCTCAGCACCACAGCCCTTGTCACAAGGGTACAATGACCAACACCATGCAGTGGCCAGCGGGTGCCAGGCAACCTGAGAGCACTCTGAGCAGTTCCCCACTTACAGCAGATTGGCTCTGTTTTGTTTTCACCGTGCTCATTGCCCGGGCAGTTCTTTCACTCTGGTTATGCAGCTCCGCAAGTTTTTTCTTCAGCAGTGACTGCAACAGGAGAGACCAGAAAGCATTTCAGAGAAGCAGTTGGCATGTCTGCTCTCAGATTTAAATACTCTTGTAAGCATTTATTACTCTCAGCTTAAAACCTACCTTCCCTTGAACCTTAGGGGGTGTAAAAGTATCATCCTGCACATGTGTGGCTTGTGGCACCCACACCCTCCCCACCTCTCCCAAGAGCAGGATACCATTGCAGACACTCCCTTCGCAAAGGACCCGCTGCTTTCATCAGCACAGCAGTTCCCATGCTAAGAATAAATGTTACATTAGCTCTCAGGTTGGACTTCCAGCACTAAATTGATGCTACTGCTCACCCCACTCCTTTTGAGAACGTTCTCCCTCAGATGTGATTTACCTGTTCCTTTAGTTGAAGACTCTGCTAAGCTCAGTCAGGGCTAAATTCTGCAGCTAAGCTGTGTACACACCCACTGAACAGATGGGAGTTTGACCACCTAAACCTTTTCAGCATACTTTACTCATGCACACTGATTTTCAGCTGTGCTGGAAAATTTGAAGGCCAGGCTCCCTTCCCTTCTACTCTGTGAACCTCCTTCTGTCTTTCATCTACACACTTGAGGTCTAGGATAGCTTTATATAGCTTTATAATTCTTCTTAAGTACATCTGCAGTGGACTGTCGGCCCCTCAGGCAGTGCCAAGCCCTGGCAGGGAGCAGGGCAGCAGAGGAGGCTCAGAGTTCTGGGTGACGCCACAGAATATGGGAGGCCTCACTGCTGAGCCCAGCCCAGCCCAGCCCAGTCAATGCAGCTCCCTGACAGCGCCTTCCCAGACCCCTGCTCTTGAGCAACATCTTGGAGAGACGAGGAAAACGCGAGGAATGGCTCTGGGGACGTGCCTGAGCACATGTTGGAGGGCAGGTAACTGTTCACCAATGCCAGACACGAGATTTACAATCGACGGCTTGTTCCGGCCTCCTCCCCGCACTCCAGAGCGGCTCCCCCGGCACCGAGGGAGCCAAGGGGCGCCCCGGGGTGCCCTTGGGAGGGGGTTCCAGCGCCGGGGGCCATCGGCCACCCCCGCCCAGCCCGGCTGCTCACCTGGGCAGAGGCTTTTGCCTGCTCCAAGGGGCTGGTGGGGCACAGCTTGTGCCCGAGCAGGCAGAGGGAGCAGATGCAGACGCCGTGCTTGCCGCAGAAGAACTCGAAGAGCCTGTTGTGCTGGGGGCACTTGCGCAGCTGCAGGTCGCGCACGGTCGGGCAGAGCTGGTGGTCGCGGAAGGCGGGGCTGTCGCGGTGCGGCCGCAGGTGCTCGGCGCAGAAGGACGCGGTGCAGGTCAGGCAGGTCTGCACGGCCGGCGCCTCCCGGCAGCTGTCGCAGAACACGGGGGGCTCCTCCGCCCAGCACCCCCCCGCCTCCCCATCCCCATCCCCATCTCCATCCTCATTCTCCTCCTCTTCCTCGCCCTTGGCCCCGGAGCGGCCCTGGAGCTGCTCCACCACCCGGCACAGCACCGTGTTCTTCTGCAGCTGCGGGCGGCCCGCGAAGGTGGCGCGGCACTGCGGGCAGCTGAAGCCCCCCGTGAGGCCGGCCCAGGTGAGCTCCAGGCAGGAGGCGCAGAAGTTGTGCCCGCAGGGCACCGTCACGGGGCTGCTGAAGAGGCAGAGGCAGATGGAGCAGGTGAGCTCCTCCTCCAGCCCCGACAGGCCCGGCTCCGACTCCAGCGCCGCCATCGCCCCGTCCGCAGCTGCCCCAAGGACCGAAACGAACCTGGGCTCGGAGAAACGAAACTATGGCTGGGGCTTTCCGGAAAATTACGTGTCCGATCCCCGCCCCGACGGGAGGGGCGGCAGCCGGGGGACGAACCCTGAGGCGCCCGCCCATGTGGGAGCCGGGCAGCCCCGGGATGCGGGGGCTCTGCCCTGCGGAACGGGACCCGCGGGGCTGCGGCCGGGCCGGGGGCTCCGAGCCGGGGTCGGGGCTGCGTCACCCGGCGGTGCCCGGAGGCCTCGGGGTCGGTTCCGGGGGCGTTTGGGTGCGGTGGCACCCGCGCTGCCCGCCCCGCTCCCCGCCGGGGCGGCCCAAGAGAACTCGGGACAGCCCAGCGCTGTCCGCCCGGGGCTCGGGCAGGGTGTGAACCCCAAATCCCCCCGAGCACCGCCCCAGCTGCTCCGAGCTGAGGGTAACCTGGATGCTGGAGATTCTACGGACTCATTGGGTTTGAAAGGACTTTAAAAATAATCTGTTTGCAAAAGCTGATGCCAGTGCAATGTTTTTAAAGCACACAGATTACTGCTTTGTGATTGTGGAAACCGTCTTAACAGAAGATGCTTCCTCAAATTTCTTTTTCTCAGTCTAACTGTTCAATAATCACTGTTTCTAACAGGAACATTGATGCTGAATAGCAACATGGCAAGTACTCCTGTCTCAACTAACTTGACTGCAAATTGTTCCACTGATCTCTTCCTCTTCTGCCCTGTCTGCGGGTGTCCCAGGGACTTTCTTGGCGCCCTCTGTATTTCTCCACCCATGCTGGCAGCAGGGATAAAAGGAGCAGCCTGGCACAAAGTCTGTGGCCCTGCAATAATTTGAACAGAACCTGATGGGCTGCAGCAGAAGGAGCCGTGTGCTCTCAACTCTTGTCCACTGGGCAAAGAACACTTTGTGGGGAGAACTGCTGAGGTTCCCTTTAATGTCATTTAAAAGTATTAGCAGGCAATCTTGTTGGTGTTAGTCCTTGGGGACTTCCAAGAATGTTCAGGAGTTACACAGAATCACAGAATTAACTTGGTTGAAAAAGACCTTTAAGATCATCCAGTCCAAGCTATGACCTAAACTAACATCTCCTCATCAACTAAACCATGGCACTGACTGTCACATCCAGTCTGGTTTTTAAACTACAGGGATGGTGATCCCACCACCTCCCTGAGCAGACGATTCGAGTGCCCAACCACTCTTTCAGTGAAGAATTTCTTTCTAACATCTAACCAAAACTTGCCTTGGGACAGCTTAGGATTGTGTTCTCTCATTCTGTCAGTGCTGCCTGGGAGCCCAGCCCCACGTGGCCACAGCCACCTTTTAGGGGGTTGTAGAGAGTGATAAGGTCTCCCCTGAGTCTCCTTTTCTCCAGGCTGAGCACCCCCAGCTCCCTCAGTGGTTCCTCACAGGGTTTGTGTTCCCTCTCCAGCCTCATTGCTCTCCTCTGGATGTGTTCAAGCATCTCAACATCCTCCCCAAACTGAGGGCCCAGAACTGGACACAGCACTCGAGGTGTGCCCTCACCAGTGCTGACTACAGGGGAAGAACGACTTCCCTGGTCCTGCTGGCCACTGTTCCTGCTCCAGGCCAGGGGCTGTTGGCCTTTTTGGCCATCTGGGCATACTGCTAGCTCATGTTCATGCTCACTGTATAAAGCACTCAAAAGAATCAATGTTGGGTGGTCTGTTACAAGGGAAATCTGCTCCTAGCCAGTTCTTTTGGACTATTAAATTAAATCTGGAGAATCACTGTAAAGCTATGTTGCACAGAAAACATGAACTTGTACCTACATCAGTTATCCCTCCAGCCTTTTAACACTCCTTCAGGATAAGCTGCAGAGGGGTTGTGTGTCACAGGGCTCTGAGTCACTGCTCAGTAACAGGTGCAGGTGCAGAAAGGACAATGGAGGCATTTGGGGCTGCAGGGCTGTGACAGGAGCAAAAGTTCAGGGATCAGCTCTGTCATGTGCTGGAGGGTGGAGGAGTTTCTAGGAGATGGGCATGGTGCCACAGGTTTACAGCGTGGTTGGGATGTGCTGAGCAGGACTTTGTAACTGCTGTCAGAGGAAATGCAAACACCTGACAGGGGGTGGCTGACAGTGACTGCAAAGGAATGCTCTTGGAGAGCTGTGCTGTGCATGAGATGGGACAAAAGAGCAGCTCTTAATGTCTGCATTTTTTATTTTTCCATAGGTGAACGAACACCCTGGGCTTATGCAGACTAAGTAAGTCATCTTTCAAAGACTCAGCACCTTCACTGTATTTTCTGTGGCACTCAAGTGGTATCAACTGATATAGACAAAGGTATGCAAATAAAAAGGGTAAATATAAACTCTCGCAATTGCAGCTTCTGCTTCCAGAGCATAGCACAGTTTAGAGCTCAGATGAGCAATTTAAGTTCTACATTGTCAAAGAGGGCTTGAAATTCTGGTTTGGAGGAAGCCCAACCCCTCCTGTTGTCTATCAGACAATAAAGTTTTAACATAAAAAAATTACTGCTACCATTTAAATAGCTACTTAAGTTATTACTCACTTTTGCTTGCAAATACTTGAGAACTTCCTGTGGTTCTGAACTAAATCTAACCCTTTGCCCAGACACTGCACATTCAAAGTGCCCCACAGAGCCCAAGCAGGGCTTTGGAAGCACAGTGGGATAAATTGTACCTCCCATTCCTGCCCCCAGCAAAGGGGCTGGTGAGAGATGGGAGAGCCTCAGGGGGCAGGAAGGCAGCAGTGAGGGTTTGTTCAGCATTTCACCACCTCCTTGTGGGATTTATGTGCATATTGTCCCATTCCGGATTCCTCAGAGCAGGACCTGGATGGGACAGGGAGGGCTCTTGGCAGTTCCCTTGGGCTGCCTGCCCTTGGTCTGATTTGAATTGAGCAGTGAAGCAGTAGCTTCATGCAAACTTGGTAACAATGGGTAAATAAAACTCAAGATTTTACCTTCAAAATACCCTTTCTCAAGGGTGCATTTGTTTTCAAGCATCACCTGTTTGGCACAGCCAGAGTGACTCTGCATCCATTTAATTCATGCCAAAAATGCACAGTAGGCAATGGAACAAGAGGTACTGTGAAACACTTGCATTTAGCTTTTGCAACTTCCTAAGAATCAACAAGTAACAATTTCCCTTAGGAAAACAATCCTTCCATTAATCTCCACTGTCTGAGCATGACTGTGCTCGTGTCTGGCGTCTTTTCATCCAGACTGCAAGAACAGCCACACAAATCTGACTGAACTTTTCTCTAAAGAAAAAAATCCTAGCATGAATTAATGGTATCTGAAGTGAACCACAAAACACAAACTCCTTTTACTTGTATAAAAACGATTCCTTCACAAACAGGACATTTTAGTAGGGCTGATGCAAAAATCAGTACTTTAATGGATTCATGCACTAGGTCAGAGTACATGACAGCTAAACCTTAATGGACAAATTTTCAGGTGTTTGTTTGTATCTAGGGTTTGTTTTCTCCCATGTCTTCTCTGTAGGAGTTAACTACCTAGCACAGGGATTATCTGAAAGTGTAAGACTTGCCAAGGCTCCAGAGGTACAAGGTGCCCCCTCAATGCTAATAATTACTAGAGCTGTCAGTGCAGTGCCTTGCCAGCACCTGTTGACCCATTCTGCTGCTGGAAAGGGAAGAAGAAAGGCAGCACAGAAACTTCAGCACTTTAGGGCAAGAGGGTTTGCTCTAAAACCAACAACAAAGGCTTTCAGAGCCTACATGGATTAACACAGTGGGACACAATTGTCCCAGGGATTCATGTTATATTTCACTGGTTCTAGGAAAAGTTGACAGTTACCAGTGCTATTTATCTGCCTCAAAACTACAGAAGCTTGAAATCCACAGGCTTTTCTGGATATGTTTAGGTGAACTCTTTAAATAACTGCAAAGTCACAGCATTTGTATCCTGTGGCAGCAGCAGAGGGACAGTTCTGCACAGCAACAATATTTATAATAATTTTTTAAATGAAAGTGACCTCTGGCAGTTATACAGCTTAGCCAAACCCAGACATTTAAACAGTTACAGTACAGGGTTGTGTTTTATCTTTTAATCAAACCATTCCAGTTCTGCAGCTTGCTACAGTAGGATATAAATATTCAAACCCAACAGAACAATATTAGACTTCCTGTAATAAACAAAGTTTTAATGTATTACATAAAAACATAGCCTAAGGGAAAAAACTGTTTTTCTTTTGGCCTACTTCTTTTTAAGACAGTAACATCCACCAGTGCACCTACTACCCTCAGAACCAGAAGGCAGAATTTCACAGAACAGATCTGTACAATTGTTCACATCTTTTCACATCCTAGATGTTCCATTTTCAAGGCTGGATCCATTAACTGGAGGCTCCACAATCAGTCTTGGCTCTATCAGTGCATCCCAGCTTTCAGTTATCTGAAAACAAACCACAGGCAGCACTTGGCAGGTGCCAGCAGCACCAGCAGGCACAATTTCTGTGCTGTTATGCTTTTGCCTAGACCTGAACAACAGAACCACTGAACTGAGGTCACAGCCCCTCCTGTGAGTCACTGATCCCACTGGTGAACCTCAACCTGCCTGATGTCCTGGGTAAGGAAAGGTGCAGGTAAGAACAACAGTGATGAAAGGAAAAGCTGGTGAGAAAGGATCTTTATGAGACATGATGTTGTTTATTAGCCAAAACAAGAACTTAGATGAGTGGCTGTGACCCCAGTTAACTGAGTACCACACAAGAACTGATAATTATGATGTAAACACGCATGTTCTTGCTAGAAAGAAACAATGGGTTTTGCTTCCATTGATTCAAATCAGATGCATGATTACAAAGGGAATGTCCCTGAGGTGAGGAAAGGCAGGAAGCAGGGCAGGTGCCAGCCCTGCAGAGCTGGTGGCAGGACTCAGAGCAGGCCCCACGTACCTTGGTGTCCTGAGGCACGGCGTACTCGATCAGCTCCACTCCATCTGCAGACTGGTACACCAGGTCGAACTTCCCTGGCTCCTTAGCAACTGGAAAACCAAACAAACAGCTCAACCAGCTACAAACCAAAGGAACTTTAAATGTCTACCACAAAAGCCGATGAAAATCAGTTTGGTTTTGGGATTTGTTTTGGGGTGTTTTTGTGCTCAGTGTCCAGGTTCATAATTGTAACCAAAAATCTCGAGGAAAAATTGAGTACTACACACCAAAATTAAGGTAATTATCTGACTACTCACATGAGAAAGTCAACAAATATATGTTGCTGAAATTTGACAAAAATGCTCATATGACAATTCATTAATTCTGGCTTACATGGCAACTGCAGGATACACAGTTTGAGAAACATTAATCATTTCAGGTCTCAGGAACTGCACCTTGTCATTACAGGGACTCACTTCCACACCCACTGAAGATACACCATTATCATCTCACACTTTCTCTCTAAAATAATAATATATTTTCTTCCTTTCTGAAATAATTTCTTTCAGAAAATGAAACCACAGTAGAGGTGAGTTACTGACCACTCAAACAGACTGAAAAAATTATTTTGTAAATACCCATGAGCATCTTTCAGCTCAACTAGCAAGGGTTAGAGCTTCTCAATGTAAATAGACATTTTGGGGAAGGAATGAGGAGGGGAGGGGTGTGTTGAGAATGATCCCAATGAAATTTGGAATACTCCTGAAAGATTAAGTGTTCCTTAGACTTCTGGTTTTCCAGGTGACAGCACATGACAACAAGCCCTTGGTGTCCCTAGGTACGTACATTGTCCTGCTGATGTTGAAAGGATCTCCAGTTCAATCTGCTTTTTTTCATCATTCCAACTGATTATTTTTGCCTCCTTCACAAAGCAACAAGAAAAGAATCAGGTAAGACACACTTCAGCACTGGATAACAATTCCATATTTACAACCAGTGCACTACTTGATTGCTGCCAGAGGAAATAAGTGTATTTGGCTATCACATTTTCTAGTCTCCATGTATAAAATCTGCAAAGAATTAATGTTCAGCAATCTGTAACTACTGGCATCAATAAACCAAAGTTACTCATTGTCACTAACTTTGCAGTTTAAATCAGTACTTACCCAGAGACCAAGTTATTTGAAGTAGCAACAAAATTTTACTTGCAAAAGTTTTAAGAGTAACTTAACTTCAAATAGCACTAGACTCAAATACAGCTACATTTTTCTACTTGAGGGCCTGCATTTTTTGTCATCTCTAAAATATTAATGGTTATTAATAATCCTTGTAGTTGGTGGTTGTTTGGTTTTGTTTTTTTTAATAACAGCTACACTTCTAAAATTTTGAATTAGTTTTGGCTTCTAGAGTTTTGATTTTTACTGCTGCACCAGTAATAGCCTATGGAGTGAACTGGATGCAAGGAAAAACACTGCACAGCATCAAAATATTTAAGCCATACCTCACCTATCATAGTTCTGTGAATGAAGGGAGGAAAGAAAACCAGTACCTTATAGTCTGAAATTTCAGGACTGTAATTTTCATTTAGTTCCAGGCGCTGTTGAAAGAAATACAAGTAACAAATTGTAACTTTTCCCAATCTTTGATGATTCCACCTACATCCAGACACAGTTTCCTCAGCAACAGAAAAGTGCAAGAGCAAAGTCTCCTGCTCCTGGAACCCAGAGCCAGTCATGGTCCCAGGCAGACTTCCAGGACTTGCTGCTCCAAAGGATTTATGTTCAGGTCAGGCTGTGTGAGGAGATCAGGGAGATGGATCCCAGTCTCCTCAGCTGCAGAGATTTAATTTTCATGTACTTTTTTATTTTGCAGTGCAGTGTAATTATTTGTATGGTAAGATTTGCAATAACATTTACATGGAAAATTACACTACAATGACAGCAGAGACAGCATTTCTTGTGTTCTACAAATACAGAAAGTCTAAAGAAATGCACTTAACTTCTGTATTTGCTCCAAACTTTGTCAAAAATCAAAGCCAGGCTTTACAACAAGTTAATTTTTTAGAGAAACTGTTAGGTCAGAAACTTAAGAGTGGCCCAAATGAAGCAATTTAAACCTCCTAACATTCATCATTTCCAGAGTTTACCTTAAAGGCAATTCTTTCTCCTACTTGGGGTGGAGCAGCTAGAAGAGGTAACACACTATAGTCTCTCTTGGGAAACTCCACAGGATTCTGTGAAACAAAGAGTAACCCACTGATTAAATTCCTGTATCAGTGAAAACAGAAGACAATGTTCATGCTGTTTGGATTGCAAGAATCACTGAGAAGACCAAGGTACATGTTTTGTTTTTAGATATAGAATACAATACAATTATTGTTTCACAAACACGTCCTCAGGCTGACAAATGGAATTGCAGTAAATAAAAGATCAGCCTTTATCCCACTAATCTATTTCTGCTATTATGAATTACTCTCATCCTGTAGGTTCTTGTACAGTTCAAGCTGCCAAAGAAAGGTGGCCTCTGCCTGTGTCAGCCACTCACCTGGACAAGGACAGAAGTGTTTGTCGCAGCTTCATTTAACTGCCTCTGTTTCTGGCCTTCACTGCTGTAGTTATAGAAGAAGCCAGGGTTTGCTCCTCTCCCATGGCCCCTCATCATCCCACGAAACCCACGGCCCCTAGGGCCTCTCCAGAAGTTATCCTCTCCTGTTCCACGCCCCCTTCCACGGCTCGGGCTGGCAAAGGATCCTTGGACACTGGCTGGCAACTGTCTAGTGCAGTTCCTTACTATGGAATTACCCAGTCCAGCACCTGCTGCAGATTTTTTAATGACCAGTGTTTCTGAATCTGAACTATCAGAGTCTGAAGAGGAGCTCTGTGCTTTGGGAGCCTTGGTGCTGGCTTTTACAGCCACCACGTGGTTTGGCACTGATTTTTCCTTTGCAGCGCTGTCTTGTGCTGGTGTCACCTTCTCATTGTCTGTACTCGAGTCAGAATCTGAACTAGAAGACAGGGATTTTTTAGCATTTTTACTAATTGCAGTCTTAGTCTTTTCAGTGTTAGACTTAACAGTCACTTTATCAGTTTTCACATCAGATTCTGAAGCAGCTTGGGATTTGTCTTTGGGAAGTGTCACCACTACAGGTTTATGGGAAGATTTATTTTCCTTCACATTTAATTCACTGCTGTCACTGTCAGACGATGTGCTGGAGGAATCTGAAGTTCCCACCCTCTTTTTCCTGGACTGTGTTGTGATCTTTTTGGTGCTATTTTTACCAGAATTTAGAGAAAAGCTCTCATTTGCCCCTTCTAAAGCCATCTTTGCTGCAGCAACCTTTGTCTGCTTTTCATCCTTCTTTTTTGTTGCCAACTGCTTCTCCCTCTCTGTTTTTTTCATCTTTTTAGAATGGGAAGTAGAGCTCTCTTCCTTACCTTCTGCGAGTTTATTTCTTCCCCTAACTTCTTCCTTTCTTTTTCTTTTCGTATACCTTTTCTGAGAGTCCCAAGTATCTACAGAGGTCTCTTCCCTACAGGAGGAATACTCAAGGTTATGCTTCTCCTTTTTCTTTTTCCTTTTATGCTTGCCTTCATTCCTAGACAATTCTTCCTCATCCTCCTTGTGTCTGTGCCTTTTTTTGTCTTCTTTTGTTGTGTAAATAAAGCCATCATCTACCTCTTCATAATCATCTGCAACTATCTCTTCCAATTTTACTCTGTTAAAAAAAAAACAAACAAAAACAACCGTTCAGCAAAATGAGCACTTTCCCCCACATGTGAGCAGCTTAGGCAAGTTCCCCTAGTGTGAAGATGCTCCAGCTCTTCCCTGGACAGTCCATAACCTTCCCCTGCTCTCCTTCCATCTTCGGGAACATTTCCAATGGCTTGGCTCCCTCCATCCTTTTGGACATGCTGGGGTGTCTCAGGTGCTGGCACTCAGTGCCTGTGGGCGCCCGGCTCCTGCTCCACTGCCCAGGAAGGAACAGCTCAGACCCCAGGGAAGCCCCATCCCCATCCCACCAAAACCACGTGGAGATTCACAGAATCCCAGGACTGGTCAGGAAGGGACCACAGTGGGGTCATCTGGTCCCACCTCGCTGCCTAAGCAGGGTCATCCCAGAGCACAGGGCACAGGGTTGTGTCCAGTGGAACACTGGAATATCCCCAGTGAGGGAAACTCCACATGCTCTCTGTCCCAGCGTGCGGGCCCTGCACCTCATGGTCAGGTGGACTTTCCTGGGCATCAGTTCCTGCCCGCTGCCTTTTGTCCCACGGCTCGGCACCACCGGGCAGAACCTGGTCCCGCCTTGGCACCGCCTTTAGCTACTGATGGACACTGATGGTGTGCGTGTGACTGACCCCCGAGCCCGCTGTCCCGGTCCTGCTGTCCTGATCCCGGTCCGGATCCCGCTGTCCCTATACCGCTCCCACTGTCCCTATCCTGGTCCCTGTCCCGGTCCCGCTGTCCCTATAACGGTCCCACTGTCCCTATCCTGGTCTCGGTCCGGATCCCGCTGTCCCGATCCCCATCCCGCCGTCCCAGTCCTGGTCCCGCTGTCCCGGTCCCACTGTCCCCATCCCGCTGTTCCGGTTCCCATCCCGCTGTCCCGCTGTCCCGCTGTCCCCATCCCGCTGTCCCCATCCCGCTGTCCCGGTCCGTACCGCAGCGAGTCGTTGTCCCGCACAAGGCGCGCGCTCTCGGCGGGCGGCAGCAGCGCCCCCTCGAGGAAGAGGCTGAGGCGGGCGCGGCGGCTGAAGCCGAAGCGATGGCGGATGAGGCTGAGCAGGTCGGTGACGAGCCGCGCCTGGCCCGGCTCCAGCAGCAGCCAGCACAGCGCGCAGCCCGGGCTGGCCGGCGGAGGGTGGTCGAACACCAGCCGCAGCCGCACCGGGCCGCCGCCGCCGGCCGCCATCATGGAGGAGGAGGAGGAAGGGGCGGAGGAGGCGGGCGCGGGGGGCGGTGCCTCAGGGCGGGCCGGGTCGGCCGGTCCCGTGACCGCGGGAGCTGAGGGAACGATGGGGCTGCTCCGGGCCGTGACCGCGCTCTCCGTGCTGCTGCTGGCGGCAGGTACGGGCCGGGCTGGACGGGACGGAAGCGGGGCCGGGGCCTCCGGGCAAAGCGCTCCTGTGTCCCGCTGCCGTGCAGGGCAGGGCCCAGGCTGAGCCGCGCGAAATTCCGCTTGCTGGGGTGGCGGTCGGGAGGGACGGAGAGGGTAGCGGCAGTCCCGGGGGAGCAGCGAAGCCTGGCCACCGTGGCTTGGAAAAGCCTTATTGCTCCCGCTCCAGTGTGCTGCTGCCTTCTGCCCTGATCCCTGAAATTAGCGGATGGAGTGTCAAAGGTCGGTTCCGTGTCCGAGATTGACAGTAGGCTAACTGCGTTAGGTGACCGGACTTTACTGACTTAAATTATATTTTGGAGTCCTTTAGAAGTGACCCTCTATGTGTCTGCATCTGCTCTCTCTGGGGACTGAAGCGGAGCGGTCCCCGCAACCCCCGGCTCACAGTGCTGGGATGAGTTGGGTGCTCGGATTATGGCGCCAATAACTCAAAGGCTGCGGGTTCGATCCCCGCCCGGGCCGTTCATTAAAAGGTTGGATCGGTCTTTTTAGGTCCATTCCAACTCAATATTCTGTGATCTTTGTCGACATTGCAGGTGGTTATGGGAGTTATTTCACTGGGGCTGTGCTTTCAGCCCAGGCCTTGAAAACACTTCAATAACAAATTATTCCAGCGATGGGGCTGTTATTCCGGCGGCAGCTCTAACGCCAGGCTCTGATAAGGCAGCACTTAATTACACACTTCATTCATTGACAATAACTCACCTGTGGGTGGGGGTGTAGGTATAGGCAGGTTCCTTTTAGTAATTTCTTTTCATAGTAGTAGTACTTCTAATTATCACACCCAAGATTGAAATGTAATGTTTTGGAGCAATTCTGGTGGAAAGTCCAAAGCTGAGCCTTGTTACCTAGCTGATTGTTATTGTTATTCCCCTCAAGGTGTAGTTCTGAGGCAGCCCCAGGAGTCCAAAGAGGTGTGGGGATATGTGGAGGTTCGGAGCAAGGCCCACATGTTCTGGTGGCTCTACTATGCAGACAACCCAACCAAAGACTTCACAGAGTTGCCTCTTGTCTTGTGGCTTCAGGTAAGGTTTGGTGAGAGACACCTAAGCAATAATTCTTTCCATCTCTGCCTGGTTCAGTCTGATATCTGATATTGTGCAGTTCTACAGAAACAGAATTCAAAACTGCCTGGTTCTAAATGCCTCGCCTTGTGAATGAGGAGTTGGGGTTGGGAAAAAATAAGGGTGATTTCATTCTGCAGTTGTGGGGTGTCCTCAAGTGCCTGCCTTCCATCAAGTTTGATTGCAATAACAGAGGTTGTTCTTATCTCTTATGCAACAGTAGTGATTTTTGTGCATTGTAATTTCACAGCTCTTTTCCTGGAGAGTCTGACGTCTAGACAATGTTCAGGGAGAGAGAGTAAATAAAATAATCAGAGATTGAGGATGAAACAATCCCAGTTTGATAAAAGTGGTGGCGTGTTGTCCACAGTACATTTCAGAAGTTAATGCTGAATAGAATCACTTGAGGAGTTGTTCTAATTCTTTCTGGGTTATTAATCAGTGTGAAATCCACAAGCTGTATACATGCTGATTAAGCTAATGGCTTGCAAAGCTCCAGTTAGCAGATAGTTGACTTTTGCACTCCATATTTGGGGAATAAGGTTTTCAAACTGTGCTCACATAGCTCACCAGGCAGCTCACCAGAAGCTCTCACAAGTGGGTGACTGCTTCTCTGTTGAATTCTTGCTTTCAGAGATGGTGTGTGTGTGCATAGCCCAAGACCATGAGGAACAGAGCCTGCTCTGCAAATTAACTTGTAGTGAAAAAGCCATTTCTAAAAATTTACAATCTGGCTGGCTGGCTTGTATTTTTCTTCCATCTGTCATATCTATGCCATGCTGTCTTTTAACATCTGTGTCATTTGATATTTCCCTGCAGGGAGGTCCAGGATCTTCAGGCTGTGGGTATGGGAACTTTGAAGAGATTGGTCCATTAGACAAAGAAATGAAACCAAGAAATACAACCTGGGTACAGTAGAGTTCAGCTTCTAACTACTAATTACAAATGTTTGTTTGCTTATATAAGCAGATGATCACTACACAAAAAACCACAATTTTTCATTTAAAGTTCAGTAGAACTATAATATTTCAAGTTAAAATATTGTGGTTATTAAATTAGCTCATAGGAATAGCCTTGTTTAGAACTGAGGGGTAGACATTAATTTAATTTAATGAAGTATTCCATGGAACTGTGAAATGCAGATGTCTGGGAAGCAGAGAGGAGGGAAATTGTAGAAAGTGTTCTTTCAGATCACAGCTTCATTGTGTGCAGTCACAGAGCTTTTTCTGGGTGGCTGGCAGTGTAAAACCTATGGCTTATAATTACAGGTCCAGTATGTCCTTCAAGAGAAAACAAATTACAGCTGCCTGTGAAGGTGGAAGTTTAATTAGAGCAATATATTTGTGCTCTGAGTTAGTAATAGTCTGAAGTACTCTGGAGTTCCCCTAGGTGACCTGCCTCTGGATCACTGGCAGTTTTTGGGTGTATTTCTCATTACAAATTGGGCAAATTGAAGGACTTTATGTTGCACCTAATTTTTCTGCAAGTTTTTTCAGGTCCAGGGATTTGCTGGCTCAGTTAATCATTTGTGCCATCAAAACTAAGTTTTTTTGCTGGTGCTGAACTGAGGTTTATACAAACCTTCTTTCTGCTTCTACAGTTGCAGGCAGCCAGTGTCTTGTTTGTGGATAATCCTGTGGGCACTGGATTCAGTTATGTGGATGATTGTAGCTTGTTTGCCCAAAACCTTACCACAGTAGTTTCTGATATGATGGTTTTTCTTGGAGAATTCTTCAAGTGTAGAACAGAATTCCAGGTAAGTGAATTGAATTCTTGTTTATTGTTGTGTTTTTCTCTGCTTTTCAATATAATGCAAAAAGAATTAGGGAACAGACTTCCAGATAAGCAGTGTTTTGCTGCTAGGTAGTGTGTGGTGCAGGTAAAACTGCTGTCTCTTATTTTCCACATTTCAGAGTTGGATCTTGATTTTGGGGTTAGTTAGATAAGCATTGGGGGGGATCATTGTCTGTTGAGTGATCTGAGCAGCATGTATAGGATCACAGCTACTTACAGTTCCAAAATGCTTCAGAACCAACCCCAGCAAACCACCAGGATGTTATGGAAACCTAATGTACAGCTTAAAATAAGAAAAACATTAAATGTTTGATGATGAGAGGTGAACAGCCAGTGCCTGGGTCCTGTGGGATGTGGGAGATGGTTGGAGACATCTTCTGCCCTCCATGCAATGAGTTTCTTGTGTGGTTTTTCTCTCCCCAGACCATCCCATTCTACATATTTTCTGAATCTTATGGAGGTAAAATGGCTGCTGGGGTTGCTTTAGAGCTGCACAAGGTAAGTACTTGGAGGATACAGTTCACTTTTCACTTCAAAACGGGGGTTCTACAAGTACTTTTATTTTCTGGAATACACTGTCCCTTTTGCCTAATTCACAGAGCTACTTACTTTTTTCACTTAATGAAAACTAATTCTAGAGTCATGAATAGCTAAAATTTAATTCTTGGTGTTTTGTTTTGTTTTTCCTCTTATTCATGAAGGCTGTTCAGAAAGGGACCATAAAGTGCAATTTTATGGGAACTGCTCTTGGAGACTCATGGATTTCTCCTTTGGGTATGTTTAAATTCCTCAAACTGTGGATGATTTGTTGTTGTTTTGTTTTTGTTGGGTGTTGGAATCATTGCATGAGTGCCTGAAGTCAAAAAGGCCATCCCTGCCTTAAGTGAATTAACTCTCCAGTGAGTCTGGTAAATCAAAAATAAATACTGCAGCCTTGCAAGTCTTCTTGTGACTGAAGAATCTCTCTTTAGAATGTATCTAGATTAGGAAAAGTCAGAGAGCAAGATCAGCGAGGAGCACACTTGCGTCTGAAGTGGAGGGATGGTAAAATGTCCCTACACATCTCCACGGCCTCTGAGGTGCTTTGTAAGAGTCCTGTGCTGAAATGTGACCACCAAGTGATTCACAAGGCTGCAAGTGAGATTTGTGTCTGGTGGAGGATAAAAAGCAAATTAAAGGGCTCTTGCTTGGTCCTTCAGTGCTATAGGCAGGGGCAGGCTTCACAGATTCTCTGCAGCACAGAACAGCACCAAGCAAACTCTTATCTGTCTGCCATCAGCTGATCCTTCAGAATTTACAAACAAAGTTGTTTTAAAACAGATTTGGTTTATAACTCAGTTTTTCCCTTGTGACTTTTCAAACAGATCAGTTTAGATAATTCTCATCCCTTGTTAGACCTCTGGCAATGTGCTGCAGTGCTGGGGGGGGGGAACATTTTGGTAGAAACATGTTGGTTGCTTTAAATAAATTTCACTGGTTAACTCATAGGGGGTTAATAATGTTGCAGGATTTTAAAGAACCTGCTCTGTGATACATAACCTTAGGGTTAAACAGAGCTTACTGATTCATTTTTACTGATTAATTAATCTCCATTTATTTTTCTCATAAATATTGTTGCCCCAGTGAAGGAGAAGTTAAATCTTACATCAACGATTGATTGTCAGTTTGATGTTTGAAATCTGTTCTGTTTGTTTAGACTCTGTGCTGTCCTGGGGGCCCTACCTTTACAGCACTGTAAGTACCTTCTTAAACTCTTGGTCCTCACCTGATCCCTTGTGCTGCCATACAGTACAAATGGATGTTGAATTTTAAGATTGGATGTTGAATTTTAAGATTACCTCTTGGCCTGAATAAAACCTCGAAAGCATGGAGGCTGTTAGCAATAAGTGGATGTGGGGTTGTAATTGAAGCTCTCCTTCTTTGTGTTTGTCTTCCAGT